ATATATTCCACCTGTACTCAGAATAATAAGACAACATGTTATGACCCAAGAGTGGAGGTTAAGGAGACTTATCTGACGACCCAGTCAGCCCTTGGAGAAAGGAAGTTATTGAACTCCACAAAAATTACAAATCCTAACTTTCCAGTGGACCTTACTATTGATGCATGTGGGGCAACTGATCATAATTTGAGATTACCAAAGTGTGGTTCCATGAGTTGGATTCACACCTCTACTCACAATGAGAAGTACTTATGTATTCAGCATAATTACCATCAAGGGGATTGGGGTTCAGTATCCCCATGTTATAACCCAACCAAGTGTACAGGTGGGAATGTGTGTCTTGGAGCAAATTCAATTTTGAGGATAAGCAAGGATGGCTGTTAACTATAAGAAAAGGAACAGCTTACTCGAACTGCAATCCTAACACCTGTAATCCAGTGTTGCTCAACTTCACCAAATTTAGTGAATGGGAAAGAGCTACTAATGATAGAAAGATTTTACAGGAGTTCGGATTGGGAATAGATGATGCTGGCTCTGACCCAGTCACTCTCATTACGATAAAAGTAGTAAAAATAGAAAAACAAACTAAGCAAAATAAACGGTTCCATTCTTTTTATGAAGAGTTGGAAACCAATATTGAAATATTAGCCATCACCAAAAATGTATTCATTGATTTGGCTGAAAGAATAAGTAGCCTCCTTGAATGTAACTAACTGCTATGTGTGCGGAGGAACTAATATGGGTGAACAATGGCTCTGGGAAGCTCGAGAATTAAATCTCAGCAGTGTACCCAGGATAAATTTAACTTGGTCATCACAAGATAAATCACCCCGGTGGATCACACAAACGTCTATAATGGGTAAAGTGTATTTTATCCGAGAAGAATCAAACCAATTCAATCAAACAGTAGGCCAACTGGCATATGAACAGGAATTCCAGATAAATGACACAGCAAACAGTTGGTGGGGTGGCAGTAACATAGTGAACTCTCCAACCCCATTACAAATGTAATCAACCTTAAAGAAATATGGAATCAACCTGGAAACATTTCTCTAGAGTGGAAAAAGCCTGATGGAATGTATTGGTTCTGTAGCAGATATGCCTATGTAAAACTTCCCAAAAGATGGAATGGAGCATGTATTTTGGGCACAATTAAACCTAGCTTCTTCCTTCTTCCAATAAAACAAGGAGAGAGGTTAGGCATACTAATTTATGATGAAATTGGACTCAGGGAAAAACAATCAATACAGATCTCAGGTCCAAAACAATGGCATGATGAAGAATGGCCTCCTAAGAGAATTATACAGGTATATGGGCCAGCCACTTGGGCTGAAGATGGGATGTATGGATATAGAACCCCTTTATTTATGTTAAATAGGATAATAAGACTTCAAGCAGTATTAGAAATTATTACTAATGAGACAGCTATAGCTTTGAACTTACTTGCTAAACAAAATACTCAACTTAGGACAGCAATATACCAAAATCGTTTAGTTTTAGATTACTTATTGGCTCAAGAAGGTGGAGTATGTGGAAAAATTAATCTGACCATTGTTGCCTACAAATAGATGATCAAGGGAAAGCAATTGAAGAAATCACTACTAAAATAAGAAAAATAGCTCATGTGCCAGTTCAAACTTGGACAGGAATTGTGGATATTTCTTGGTGGTCCCAACTAACAGAAGGAGGATGATCAAAATGGGGAATAATATTGTTATGGTTCATAGGAGGAATATTGATTATCCCTTGTATTCTACCCCTGATGGTCAAAATGATACAATATACAATCAAATGAATGCAGGTAACCTTGGTTCAAAGGAAAGATAAAAATGGAGAAAAGAGTCTAATATTGAAGGTAGATAAGTTAACCTCTAAAAGTAAAGATGAGTATTGCCAAAACTTTGAATTGATTAATGAAGACATATATGAATAAAGAATTTTTAATGTAAATTAAATGTAAAGGGGTGGATTTGAAGGGAATATAATTTTTGATAAAAACTCTTTAATAAAGACTTAGTTAAATATCACATAGCCTTAGTTTCCAAAAAGGCAGGAAAACTTGTTGTCAGGCAGAAAACATGTTGTCAGGTTAGGCAATCAGAAAGAATGTGACCAAAGTGGGTCCATGAAGGAGAGATATGGCGTGTCATCAGGACCAGGAGGTATTTAAACCATCACCAACTATGATCGTGTGTGGCTTCTTGATTTTGTTAATAGAAGTCCACCAGCCTTTGCAAATGCTTTAAAATAAAATTTTCTTTCAGTGACCTCCAAGTCTCTTTTTGAGTTTAATTTTTATCCAAGGAAATATGGTTCCAGTTCCTATGTGCAGCTGCCTATATGAAGTCACCTGCTCTGCACAGACACAAATGCAAACAGAGTAGACTACTTTGCCTACCTGACCCTGGAGGCAAAACTACTTAGTAGGACTCCTTGAGTTTTTTAACTGCTTACATTCTAAATTTACTTATACAAATTTTTAAAATTAGCAAAATTTCTGCAAAGGAAAATAGAACAGGAATTTAAAGAGCAATAAGGTAATTCAAAATGAAAAAAAGCAAACAACTAATATTAAGGGAGGTTTCAAAGGAAACTGATGATAATCACAAATCAACCTCAGATTTTCATAATAAAAAAGTTTTAATGAACAGTTACACCTAATCCTAAACTCACCAATTCTGAAGTGAAATTCATGTAGTGCCAAATTTCTTATAGCAATTTGTAGGAACAAGGCCTCCTGCCTTGGGCATGGGATTGCACTAGAAGACCTTCAAGGCACTTTCCCATCCTATATGACTGCTTTGCTTCCTTCCGTCTGTTGCCAGCCAAATGGCCTTTAGCTGTTCTAGACTTCAACTCTTATAATCCCATCCTAATGGCTAGAAAAAGCTAGACTTTTATGCAACCGAATGGAGTCTTACCTCTGCCACTAACAAATAGACAGATTACATGTGCTGAATTGACACAACTGTTAGCTGGTTTTTTGATTACCATTATTTTTGCACCTCCAATCACAGAGGTACATAATGAGGATTAATTTAAAATGTACATCAACAGATTGTCACAGGGTAATTTTCTTCTTTGGACAAGAAGTAAAGCTGGGCAAATAATTCTAACTAGTCTTACAAATCTTTCAGGTAAATATTTCCATAATAAAACACTTACAATACTGAAAAAAAATACATGTTTCCTTCCTTCTTTAAATAGAAAGGCTGAAACATTCTGCTTTTGGTCAGCTGGAACATATATGCCCCATGGACATGGATGGGTTGCTAGGACCCTGTAACTGGACACTAGAGATCTCAACAGATAACATGCAGCAAGTGTACTTTATTTCCCAAATGGCAAAGACAGACAGCAGACTGGTCTTATAAAAAAAATAACATAAAGGTAAACTATATGGTAAACTGTAGTCTATTTCCACAATAAAATAGATAAAAAGAAAATATAATAATAAATGTGCTAAATACAGAGAATCCAAGTTCAGCTAAATACATTGCCTTTACCTGATACATTAATCTCTTCAATAAAGTAGGTTTAGCTGAATAGTCTTGTTTATAAACTTAGCAGCTGCTCACAATCTGTATGTCCTCCTATACCCAGGAGGAAATAGGTCAATCTGTGATTTAGGTCTACTGTATTCTTTCAAGTAAATATTTTAAATTTCTAACCCTAAAAGGGATCTACAGATAACAATAAAAACTATGAGTAATATCTTCAATTGCTGGGGCACCACATACAAGTAATTCTTGACATGACAATTCATTTAATCACCTTTCAAAGTTACAATGGCATTAAAAAAGGGGACTTACAACCCATGCTCAAAGTTACAGCTGCAGTGCCTCTGCAGTCATTTAATCAACATTCAGATGCATGGCGACCTGCACTTATAATTGCAGGTACGTTGCAACCCTACCACTACCTGTCTCCCTACCTCCCCATCTATGCGGTTTTGGCCACCTTATAGATATACAACAGCACACAGCAACAGCAGTGCCAGGCCTGGGGTTGAAGTGGAAGGCCTTCAATTTACCTGTAAAATGCTGCTTCAAACCCAACACCATGGCTAGTCTCCTGTGCACAAAGTAACAGTTAACCCCACTGCTCTGCTCTCCTCAGGCCTGCTTCATTCAGCTAACCTTCACCATTTTTCTCCTGTGCTGATAAGAAGGGCTTGGCCTATCCCTGCTGTATGTGAGGCAGCGGCCATGGCTGCTCCAGGCCTTCTTCTACATGTGAGACAGATGCTGGCTGCATTAGGCCCTCTTCCCAAGGATGCTTGCACCATTCTCCAAATCAAGAGATGGAAGTACCCACATTTGGCCATGGAATCCAACAACTCAAATCTTGTTGTAGAATAGGGTTTTTTAAGAAATTGTATCAATTGACAGGTATTTTTTGGTTTGGAAAGTGTTTTTGTTCTTAGCCAACCAATTTAAAATTCTATTTTTGTCAATAATTCTGTATCAGTTTGGGCATAGATACCTAAGATCCTCTATTGAAAAATTTCCTTTGGCTGGGAGGCAGTTGAGAGTAAATATTGGGTGTAAGCTATGCTGTAAAATAACTTTGATAAATTGCTTATCCAAGAGGTGTGCTGAGCCACACTTAATCAGTTCAACTGAACACATTTTGGGTAGCCTACCAAAGACAAAGACAGAAAGCATGCTTGCTGATTTTTGAAGGGGGGAAAAAAGCTTTCACATTTTTCATGCTTGCTTTTCCACGTTCAATTTTCATGTAACTAACTTTTTAATCAGGATTTGCAAACTTTCCACCATTAGTCACTCCTGTGTCAGGGACTTTAGCCAACTGGAAAGGATAAGCTGTGTCTCAGTTTTCATACATGAATCTTCAGAACAGTTCTGTATAACCCAATCTTTGAGCCACAAAATGCAGCTCGTGGGTCTCCTTCTTTTGCCTTTGACTCTGCACCTAAATGTGACTGTGTAAATGTACACGTATATGTATACGTATATGTAGGAAAATAATGTCTTTACCTTTCTACAGCCATGGTCCTCCTCTTTCCCCTGACTTACTCGACCCCGTTTCTTACAGACAGAAGGCAATGTCTGATTGCAAGGACTGTCATTCCATCTCCCTTCCTGGATGGAAGCATAGAAATTTCAACTTTGTAAAACCATTTTCACAGTTGGGCCCAGTTTCTAAATATTCTAAACATTAATATTGTATCTTGCCAGTTTCCTGTGTCAACTATATATTTACCAATTTAAACAATTTTGCAAAGCCGTTATGCAAATTTCTAATCTAATACCGTACTAACTTGATCTTCATGATATCTTTTGCCTTTTTATATGAGACTATCAATTTTTATTTTTTGTACAAAAAGGCCTTTTGCAATGCTGACCTGTTTAGCACATGCCTGGGCATATTTCTGCAATCTTTGTTTCAGAAATCAGTTTTTAAAACAAGTAAACCAACTTCCCTTCTACATACAACCTCCCAAATATCATAATCCAAAATGCTTCCAATCTAAAGGAACACTGTAGGCAATATGTATAGGGCAATTTTAAATGTTTTAAAAGAGTTATTTAATCCTATTATACAACTATTGACAAAATCTCAAATGGCTTCAAAAAGTAAATATTTAAAGTTTATCAATATATCTGGATGATCCAACTATAAAAAACAAATTGAAATGGATTCCTACAAAGTTTTGCCTGCTTCAGTTGTCTGTGAAGAAAATAAATAGGTCTTAGATTACATAATTGTTTTGGCCAAAGTTGGATAAATCATTTCCAAGTTTCTTTGCAATCAAATCTGTTTTAAGAAAAAAAAATGAGTTTAAAGTGCAGATCCCTTAAGATTCCAAAATCACAAGTCATTAATGAGGAGTACATAGTATTATTTTGACTTTTTGATATATGTGGTACAGAGTCCTCTTTATGTTAAAATTATATATTTCTCTCACGATAGAAATATTTCCAAAATTTTACTCATACCGGCCCCCAGATAGTCACACAATCCTCCAGGCTATCTCGGAAATTATTGGGCTCAAAAGGATGCCAGAATGTAAACTGCACTGGTGTGCCATCTGACCACTCAAAATTCATCTGTAGCCGGAGATCATTCAGACCAATCCAAAGTTCTTCAACATCTGGCACAACAGGGAAGAAGAGAAGATAGTGTATACAGTCCTCTCCTGTATATATATTAGTAATACACTTCTTTGTATTCATTACATCACTCAATGCACAAGAGGTATGCCTACTTCTGCCTTTCTAATTTACTTGTCCTCTCCAATATATAAAAATTTAAGAGAATGCTGCTAAATTCATGAAAAATTCCATGAAAACAAGAAGTTTAGAATTTGGATGTAGCACTCAGAAAGGTTGTGACTTCCTCTGCTGTGATTTATCTTCACTTTATTCCCAAACCTACTGTAGCTCAATTTCATCATTGCCTTCATCCTCTCTACTCCATGTTCTCTTCAGGAAGATTTTTCATAAACATTCAACATACTGATTCATCTAAAAATTCAGTCAGTACCATAAAAAAATCAACTTTCAATTTTTAGAAAAACCTATTTAATCCTTGAAGGGGAATAGCATAATTGGCCCAAGGATTAGAAATCAGCTAAATGAAGTGTGGAAGTAATCATTTTGATTGTCAAAATGACAATTCAAGGCTGCATTCCAGCCAATCAACATTTTTGATTGAACCAAGACTTGTTGGGAACAAGATCTATTTCCTTTTAGTTTAATCCATATTCTGTCAGTCAAATTTGGTTCTTCTTAAAATGCTAAGCAAGGTCAAATCTGGTTATTATTTGGACATATAACCATGAGGAAGTATCAGGGGTAGGGTAGCCTAGAAATCTTAAAAACATGGAAGGCAATAGCAAACAATTTCCATACCATTACAAAGAAAATTATATCTATGAAGTCACTGAAATCCGACTTGCAGATATCACCATTTTAAAGCCATTGGCCACAGAGTAAGCTAATTGGATAAGCATCTATATCTCACATCTTACTTTCTGTAAACACTACCATAAAAATTCTCTACTCATTTTGTAATATGATTGCATGCGCGCACGCACACACACACACACACACAAATATAGAGAGAGAGAGACAGAGAAAATGTTTGTGGTAAAGTACATGGGCATCACTCTTTTTACTAAAGACATGCATACTCCATGTGATCACCAATCTTCTAGTCCTCCTGCTTTTTCTCTTTGACCAGAGCCACCATGGCAATCATTTTATACATGAGATTACCCACTGCATAGCTGCTGCTTGAGAGTTCTTGGGATACTAATTCAAAATTCTGAATATACCTCAATCTATAAGGGTCCAGAGTGCATGATTAAATCAATTATCCTTTACCTTGCTTGATTTGCTTGGTGACAAACTCCAGTTCAGAGAGGGTATGGATGCTCACCAGATCCCCTTCACTCCGCAAGCAGGTCTTTTTGGCATCTATCCAACTTTTCTTTTCACTTATCAAACGATAGCAGTTAGATTGGAATGGCTGCCAGCTGGGATCACAATCAATCTTCACTTCAGATTCTACTGGGATTATAGTACATAAATTTAGAGAATCAGAGAGCCGTGGGATATAATTGTGAGACTACAGCCAAAATCTATAACCCAGAAAACAGATACTGTAAACCTAGCACAGAACTTTACTTTCTGCCATATAAACCAGACTACTAATTCCTTAATCACAGATATTAATAAATGGATTCAAACTAAAATCCATAGTTTTCCATAATTATTTTCAAACAGAATGCAAACATTTATTCCCTTCTTATTCCTTACATTGGTGCTCTAAGTGCCTGGCTTTCAGGCTCTGAAACTCTTTTGCCTTTGTACTTCCTTCTAACCCATTCAATATATCCCTCTCCTCAAACCCTCAAAATTATAATAAAATATTAAAATCAGCTAACAAATAAATGCCTGGTGAAAAAATACTTCTTACAGATTTTCTAAACATTGAGAGTAGGGCAATGCAATCCAGAACCTGGGAACAACACAAGGTCCTTTTTATGTATCAGAAAGTGAGCTTTCCTACTGATTAAAAGAAATGGATACATTTATCATGGAAAAGACATAATCTATCCATACAGCCCCTTGCCCCAACTCCAGAATAACTTTCTATTAGATTACGTCCTTACAACCATCTTGGTCAGTGGTTCTCAACCTTTTTAATGCCGCGACCCCAACCGGTCGTAAGTCGAGGACTAAACCGGTCGTAAGTCGAGGACTAAACCGGTCATAAGTTGAGGACTAAACCGGTCGTAAGTCGAGGACTACCCAACCAGTCTAAATCGAGGACTTTGCCTGCCCGGGAGTGCCGTGCATGCGTGGTTCCGCCCCCTGCGCCGCGGCTCCGCATCGACCGTTCGCCGTCTCTGTCTCGTCCGGCTGGTGGTCGACCGGGTCGGGTTCCCTCCATTCCGTGGGCGGCCTTTTCCCCTTTTTTTACCGCCTGTTTTTTTTACCGCCTGTCGGAACGAACCGCTGGGGGTACTTTACCAGCTAGCTGGGGTTTACCCCTCCCGACCCACAGGTTGAGAACCACTGATCTTGGTGCTAGCTTGCTGCTGAGCGAGGCTTAAGCTGTATCAAAGCTATCCAGCAAGAAAGTGGCACTTCTCATAGAAAAACAAAAGACTCCTACATGTGTAGTGCTCCATGTTGCAGAGATCAGTCACCTTCATAGGATTGGCAGCTGGCTGGGCTCCTAATGGCTCTTTGCAAAATCAACCCTCGGTTTAGGCTGCCAGAAGGAATATAACCATGCACAGCAAGTTTTTTTTCCCCAGCTCAAGAGAGCATCAACCTCATGGAAAACTTGCCTAAAATCTATAGGTAAGCTTGATGTAACTCCCATTTATGATTTACACAGTTTCTTATGAATTCCTAAAAAACAACAGATGGAAGATGGTAGTGATTGGCAATTACTGGAACTACAGAGTGAATACACCTATAAGAAGCTGCAGCTGCAAATGCAATGCCTGTCCAGTACTCTGCCTCAGAAACAAAACTTTTAATTTCAGGAAACCATAGCAATTGGGTTAGAATCATAATTCTGGAAAGAAATGTAAGAGGTCATGCAATCCAATCTGTATTCAGGGTCCAATTTAGTATCTTTGACTATCTAGCCTCTCTTTCAAGACCAGTGTGAAAAATCAAGCCTCAGGCCAGGAAAGAATCTGGCAGCAAATAAAAGCTGAGAAGAATCTTGTGAAAAGAGCTGGGAACTCAACACTGTTATTTCTTCACAGGCTGGCAAGAGCTGATTTTGTATGCAGAACAGGTTTGCAAAAGGCGCTTTGCCTGGGTGTGATGCCAGGGTACTCTCTTAGTAAATGGTGATTGTGGATTTGTTCACTTTTTCTCTCCTCCTATAACAGGAGGAGGTATCTGCCACTCTTGTTATGATGACAGGAATGCTATTGGCATTTTGCTAAGGCACAGTAAGAGAAATTTGCAGCTGCTACCTGCAAATCCAGTGAGAATCAAGGAGCATTCAACAAACCTACTCATTCAATTGGAATGTAAATCTATCTAAAAAGAGGTTACCTCAATCCCTCAGATCACTTCTTTATTTACTTATAGCATCTCCCTGTCCTCTGGAGTTACTTTCAATCTGTTCCTTTTGGTAAGATCTTTTTTTGAATTTAGATAGCATCCAAGAGTACATATGCTTCCACTGAATTGGACAAGTAAGGAGCAATTAAACTGGGTATCTCAGCATACTGAAAATATCCCACTCCAAAAGGATCACCCGGCAGCCTCTTTCAAGCTAGAGAGGAATGTCTTTTTCTGGCAAAGAGACACAGACCACCTCTCTTAAATATGGAGCTGGTCCCATCCTGGCCAATTTATTCAGGTAGGAAGGTCAAGGCTGGGAATATAGCTTATGGAGCCATTTAATCCTGTCACACAAAAAGCCTATGGTAACCCAATACATTTCCTCATTTAGCATACAATTTCTCCAGTACCAAGGCCCTGTGTGAGATTTTCTGCAAAAATCCATAGAAATTTCATATTCTGCAGTATAGTTATTGTTTGTTTATGTTTAAACCAAAATATTCAAATTGTTTGGGTTCTTTTGCATTTTCCAAATTACGCACCTGTGAAGTGTGTATTAGAAGTAGCGTTTGGTTTCTTTTTACAGATATATGGCAAAGCAATGCTGCAATCCCGGTTCTGCCATCCTCCCGAGGACTCTGTCCGTATCACCCCACAATTCTCTTCATTGGGATTATCAGGTTGATCTATAAGCATAATCCAAGAATGTTATTTCAGTATTAAGGATCGACTCTTAGATCGACTCTGAATTTCACGGATTGAAAAGACATTTTTGGGGGATTTTGTTATCAGAGATGAAAAAAAAATATACATTGTGCTGATGAAGATTAGATTGCGTATATGGGAAGTTAAAGAAATTTTTGTCCAATGCTGCAAAATAACTGGATAAATCAATCACAGAAAAGTAAAGATCTCTATATTCTCAAAAATATCATCATCATTTTAAAATGTAATACTAAGTTTTAAGACTAGCTACCCTTATTTCCAATAGTTTCCATTCTCTGCAAAGGATGGATTTTAAAAAATGGATTACTATTATCATGTTACTTTAAACTGGTCATTAAAGGCAAGCGTTACATCTGTAGAGAAAAGGGACAGGGTATGTTTGACCCAATGTTTGCTAAGAATATCATATTTGGGCTGTAAAATTTCAAGTATGTTCCCTTCACTACCATCTAGGGATTACTCAGATTACTGCATCCCCACATATGGTGGCCCTCCTTTGACTTAAGGACATAGACTTCTATCATGCAAATTCTGAAAAGAAATGGAAAATGGGTTTGTATTATCTCAAAAGAATGTTTTACATTTTGCCTGGCTCTTTATTTTACACACACACACACTGGGAATATATATATATATATGTGTGTGTGTGTATGTGTGTGTGTGTGTGTGTGTATATTTTCTGAGGTTTTCGCGGGTGTTTGTATGTAGGTCTTTGGTTAATCGGGTTTTCTCCCGCGTAAAATTGGAAGTGTCTTGGCGACGTTTCGACGAAGTCCCATTCGTCATCTTCAGGCTGGTGTCTTCAGCTTCGTGCTTCTAGGAGTAATGTGTGATTGCAGCTGTTTCTTCCTTTTAACTGCCAATGGGGTTGGAACTGATTGGGTGGGAGGTTGGCTGTGTTCTGATTACGCACAATCCCACCACCACCCTGCACAGATCAACTCCGTAGCCAAGACCCTCATCTCCAGAACCAAACGCCTAGCCGACAAAGATCATCTGAAAACTGAATTACACACGCTCACAAACGTATTAATCTCCAACGGATTCCAAAGAAATACAATTACCAACCTAATCCAAAGGGAAACACCCCCCAAGAACCGAGACATAGAACAGTACAACGACATCGCCCTCCTCCCCTACATCAAAAGCACCACAGATAAAATCAGCGAAATTCTCCACAAACACAATATCAAGACAGCCTTCGGCACCGACCAAAAAATAGCAAACATCTTAAGAAACCCCAAAGACAGGATCCATCTAGAAAACCAAGGAGTCTATGAAATACCATGCAAAATCTGCCCAGCCACATACATTGGACAAACTAATAGGAGAATAAATGCATGCATCGCAGAACACAAGAACGCAGTCAGAAAAGAAGAAAAAACTTCCTCCCTCTTCCAGCATCTTAAAGCTACAGGACATGAAATTGATTCTGAAGGAACCAAACTAATCTCCAAAACTGAACACCACAACAAGAGAATAATTATGGAAGCCATCGAAATAGAAAAACACCCCCACAACGTGAATAAACGTGACGATACCTCCTGCCTACCAGACATCTGGAAACTAGCCCTAATCAACAAACGAGTCCTAGCCACGAAAACCGACACCGGACCCAGAACAACACAGTACGCCACCACCATTCACCCTCACCAGACCCAAACCCAAGCCCAAACCCATCCCTCAGACGAAATGCAAACACCATCCAGAAGCCAAACCACGACGACATCACCAGCTGCTGCACCTCCCTCCGACCTCCACACAAAGCAAACGGACACACGCCATGAACACAGAGCTAGACCGCAAACTCGGAGCCAAACCAAAGCCTGGTATGCTACATCACAGCCTTCTGCTCTGGACACCACATCACAGAACTCAGGGGGTTACAACGCTAAAGGTTGGGATGTTACAACACAGCCAACCACCCAGGATGTTGCAACACAAAACTCAGGATATCACTACACTAGATCTCAGGATGTAATCACACAACCCATTACCCAGGTCGTTATAACACAAAAGACTAATGGGCACACAGCCAGCACCTCAACTACTCAGGATGTTACGAAACAGCTGAACAATCCGCAAACAATAGCTCCCACA